TGCTTTCATGTTCAAAAAAAAAAACGCCACGAACACCTTGCGTTAGACGCCACGCATCGCACTAAAAAAGAAAAACAAACACTTAAGAGCGTGGGTTTGCACACTCTCAACACTTGCAGCGCGTTGCTTAAACACAAAGGCGTAACTATATAGACGTAACAATGTGACACTTGTTAGTCCGCGCTTGTGCTGCCTAGCATTCTTGTCGAGCGTCCGTCTTCGTGCTTCAGCGGGAAGCTGCAAGTATCGAGGTGTTTGTGGGTCGTTCTTTGTGTGAAATTCCAATTTATTGCTATCACACCTAATGATTCGCCCTTGTGTTGAAACTGACTTTTTCCTAAATAAGCCACCTTTGTGCTTTCTAAAGATCAATGTCCCGCCCTTAAGCCGGGAAAAATCAAGCGAATAATTTTCCTGTTATGCCAGTGCTATATGCTTTTGTAAGGTTTGTGAGGTCTGTGTTCTCTTTCACACGTCCTCGCACCTTTCAACTCTCGCTAAGCGCGCTACTTATAATAGAGGTCTTCGCTTTTTTGCCTACACTTACAGACCATCAAGAAGTTTGAACTGTTCAATAGCCATCCGAAAGATGTTCAGGCAGACTGTTTATTGAAATAAAAATTAATTAACGATCTGTTCTCGCCCCTTCGTGGCGACGGCTGGCCCTTTTCACTTTGATGTTTGGAGAAATGTTTTTCCTAACAAAGAAACTAACCAATCTTGTCAAGTTTCTACGAAACTTGACACGCTTGACTAATTTCTTTGGTAGGATAGAAAAAATCTATCTCAACATTTGTGTAAGCAGTGCTTTGTGAAGTTTCCGTGAAACTTGACGAATCCCTTTGCGTCGCTTTTGCTTTGTCAAGTTTCTATAAAACTTGACAAAGCAAAAAGTAATAAAACCTCTCAGCAATATGTCTGCCTCTGTGATGTGGAATGACATTTCTAAATCCAGCAGTGAAATCAGTGAGCAGGTTAAAGAAAACTAAGAAAAGAATAATCACTGCTTCATTGCAGTTGTTTGGTGATAATAAGATTGACTTGACACTTAGAAAATTTTCGCATTTTATTACCAAGCTCCAGTAAGTGAACAGGTAAACATCAGACGTGAATTTCACAGAATTTTTTTTGACGCAATGAAAGAGAGCATAGGAAAAATGGAGTTCTCATTAACCTAATTCATAACAGGTCGTATGTGACGAAAATTTCAGGGGAAAAAACATGGTCTTTCCAAGAAATTGATGGGAGTGAGTGATTGATTGATTGATTGATTGAGTGAGTGAGTGAGTGAGTGAGTGAGTGAGTGAGTGAGTGAGTGAGTGAGTGAGTGAGTGAGTGAGTGAGTGAGTGAGTGAGGTGGTGCGTGCGCCTGACTGAGGGACCATGTTTTTGTGTTAAGTGTGAGGTAGTGGGTAAGCAAGTATGTGCGTGCGTGTGCGCAACAGCAGGCCAATGTAAGAAAAAAATGAGTCGGGTTACCCTGTAAATATTTCAACACTGACGTGGAAAGATGATGTCACAAGAGAAAGAAAGGAAGGAAGGAAGAAAAAATTGCCCGCAGCTTCCCTCGGGGGAACACTGAGGAGGATGCGGACCATATAATTGGTTAACGGGGTGTTAAAGTGCGACTTACTTGGGTCGATGGCTAAATTGGTTAACGTGGTTGTGAAATGGGGTGTTAAATTGCGACTTACTTGGGTCGATGGCTAAATTGGTTAACGTGGTTGTAGGAGGGGGTGTTAAATGAGTGAACACGTACACACGTATGCGAAAGGGCGGCGCTGGTCGAAGGGACGTCGATCATTGTGTTTGTGGATTCGTTGGAATTCATTTCACCGCGACCTTGGACGTCGACGCGCCGTACAAACCAACCGACGAGCGGCAACTGAGCGAGCGAGCGCCGACCTTGAGTATATTATACAGCACGATGGCGCATGCACTGTCAGCTGTTGAATGTTCTCGAAGCGCGACGCCACATGCGCGTCCACTGGAGAATCAGGAGAATTGTAGACGTCGAACGCGGTGTGTAGATGAGGAAGGGTGCACAGATGGTGGAGGAGTAAAGCGCGCGCGGTGTGTAGAGGAGGAAGGGATGCACAGATGGTGGAAGAGTGGGCGACGGCGCGACGGCGCATGCGCGCGCGTCAGCTGTCGAATGTTCGAGAAGCGGTGCGGACGGCGCACTACAAGGCGCGAGTATAAGATGCTCCGCATCTAAAACAGCTTTATTTTGGTCCTGCGGAACGCGACTGGGTAAGCCAAGTAGAGAGAGAAGAGAAAAGAAGAGAAAAGTGAGCCCCGCAACTGTCTGCATCAGGGTGCGACACCTCAACAGTAGCTCACAGGGGAGGGGGATAAGGAGGGATTAAAAGAATAGGATTAAAGGTATATATATATATATATATATATATATATATATATATATATATAGAGAGAGAGAGAGAGAGAGAGAGAGAGGGAGAGAGGGAGATACAGATGCGTATAGGACAGCGAGCGAGGACATAGAGGGATAAGAGTGATAGGAAAGATGGAAACACGGTCACAGGAGCCCGAGGACGGGGCACCACTTGCGAGAGCTTTTGTCGGCGTCATGAGATGGCGTAGGGCAAGTCCAGTAGGTCAGAGCTACGCTGTCGTCGGAGATCGGCGTCAGGAGATGACGTAGAGCCGGCCCAGTCGGCCAGAGCTACGTCGACGTCGGAGATTGCGAGGGCACAACCAGTCGTTACGGAATCCAGCGAGCGAGTCTGCGTGCCTCAAACATAATACTGAACGGTTATTCCGCACTGCGTAGCGATTCCGAGTTCGAAAGCTGTCGTTTAAAGGCTTATCGCAAATGTCGCATCCCGCGCCGATGACAATCTATTTGGCGTGTAACAAAGTTCTTCTTCTTAAACAAACATTGAGATCATTTGTTCCACAGCGCGACCATCAAAATGTAGTTCAAGCTGAGTGAAACATTGTAGTGGAGTGAGTGCTCATATATACATTTAAACTAAGACTATGCCCTAATTTATCTGAGAATACCTAGTTTATTTGTTATCAGTTTGCGTATGCGCGAACTTCTACGCGCATACACAGGTAAATTGGAACGGCCGCGTGATTTCACCGCCAGCTTGATGGCTGATACAACAAAATACACGCCTCCCCCAGATATGTAGGCCACAAAGGGATTCTGAAGACTACTTTACCTAGGCCATATGGACGCCGCTATCTTGAGCTTTAATGTCGATGTTTTGTTGTTGTTTTGTTTTGCGATGTGAACTAATAGATAGATAGATGAGATTTAGATTAGATTTGTGGGGTTTAACGTCCCAAAACCACCATATGATTATGAGAGACGGCGTAGTGGGAGGGCTCCGGAAATTTCGACCACCTGGGGTTCTTTAACGTGCACCCAAATCTGAGTACACGGGCCTACAACATTTACCCCTCCATCGGAAATGCAGCCGCCACAGCCGAGATTTGAACCCGCGACCTGCGGGTCAGCAGCCGAGTACCTTAGCCACTAGACCACCGTGGCGGGGCGGTGTGAACTAATAATAAGGTCATGAAACATTGTATGCATCAACTCAACCTTTTTCATGCGTGGGCGTCTACTGTATAACACTGTCTGTTTAGTTCTTAAATATCCAAGAGAGGCACAGAGGTCAAAAGCCCAACATGGCGGCACTTAAACCCCTCCGTAAAAAAAAGTCTATTACGAAGGTACAAAAAAAAAACGCTTTTCTCCAGCTATTGAAACAATCACCCTCCGAAATACCGTGCGTCGACAGCCAGAAAAAAAAATCACAGCATATCCACGGAATGAATTATGATTAGTGTGGTGAAGCATCTGCCAATCCGTCCATGCTTCCATCCATGCATTCATCCATCCGTCCGTCCATCCGTGCGTCAGTCCATTCGTACGTGCACCTGTTCGTGCTTCCGTTCGTGCGTCCGTCCGTGCGTTCGTATGTCCGTGCATCCATGCCTCCGTTCGTTCATCCGTGTGTGTCTGTCCGTTCACGCGTCCAGCCGTCCATATAGTGAACATTTCAAGTACCGCCATCTCGCTTCTTTTTATCATATATCCATCATATACAAGTACGTCATCCAGCGGACAATCCAAGGACTTAATGAGAGTATGTACCACACTTCTGCTGTCAGCGCTTTGTTAACACACACCAAGAGCGTGATAACGACGTCGTGGTACCTTTTTCGTAACATGTGGAAATGCGGATGTGATCCCGAGGGCAAGTATGTGCCACTGGTATGTGGGTATGTGGCACAGGTTACGCCCTACAACAACGGGGGACGCACAAGCCACGCCACAAGGAGCTTCGCCCCTGAAATGCAAGCGAGGAGAGTGAGCAGGACCATTCATGGAGCGAGATTACATACAGCGTCACCACGGAAATCGAATCTAGAGCGCGAGATGGTCCGAATGGGGAGCGCGCGGACGTGAACCGGAATCGAATGCGGTGCTTTTCCCGTTCCAGTGACATTAGGCAGCACGCGATAAAGGCGGAGCCGTACGTGCGACCCCACCATGAGTTATATCCCGAACATCCCATTCCAATGCAATACAGTTTTCGCGTCTTTCTTACGGTACCAAACCCGTTCACATCGGGTACAAACTGACTGATCTTCGAACCGTTTTCAACAGCCAATATACTTGCACTGACGTCACCGAAAACAGCCGTGCTAGAGCGCCCAGTATGTGGGAACAGGATGTTAGCCATGTCACAATAATGTTATAAAAAACGTCACATGTCATGTGAAAATTGCCATTTAAGTCATCATGATGTTGCTATAAAAAGATAAGCGCATAGAAAAAAATGGCAATTTTGGCACGGTAACTAACGCATGCTCTCTCGCTTCAGCTTACTATGCGAGTTGGCTATAACAGCGACGACGAGGATGAAAGTATGACCTGCTGGTGCTGCCTGGACCCTGCTGAGGCTGAGAATAAACGACGTGAAGGATGAAAAAAAAAACAAGCGAGCAGTACTTCTCACCTGTTTGGGACCAGTCACGTATCCGTTACTGCGGAACCTGCTGTCATCGTTGAAGCCGCCAGAAACACGCCAGTCAACCATGTTTGAAGTACTCAAAAGGCATTTTTCACCGAAACTATCAGAAGTGGTTGCCACGTTCACGTTCAATTCAAGGATACGTCATTCTGGCGAAACAGCCGTGGTTTTCTTCGCATGCCTCAACAAACTTGCTGACGCTTGCGCTTTCGGCAGGTTCCGATACAGAATATTTCATGACATCATCGTGGCAGGCATAAACGACGAGGCAATGCAGCGAAGTCCGTTAGAGTCACCAGACTTGACCTTTGATACCACAAAGAAAACAAAACACTTATTGCGATGGAAATGGTGAACAAGGATTCTTGAGTGCTGTAAACAGCCGTACCAATGACTATTGTGCCGACGACTGGCGTGTCACGTGATACAGGAAAGCAGAAGCATAAACCAGCTTCATGTTCCGCTGCGGAGGCGAGCATCTGGCGACGCAGTGTCGTCATGCAAGCAGCGTCTGTCACAAGTGTCGAAGCAAGGGGCGACACGCTCGGCGTGTTTACCGATTTGATATTTCTGAATTCCGTGACTTTTCCAAGTTTTCTGAACCAAATTCCATGACCACAACGTCTGTCTGGAAAACTCTGTGCACTAGAAACAAACCCTCGAGTGGCAAAAAGAAAATCAGGCGCTCCATATTATAAAATAGATAAACATATTTACCAGACACCCTCAGAATGTTGCGCCGCCGTGGTGGTCTAGTGGCTAAGGTATTCGGCTGCTGACCGGAAGGTCGCGGGACCGAATCCCGGCTGCACCGGCTCCATTTTCGATGGAGGCGAAAGTGCTGTAGGCCTGTGTGGTCAGATTTGGGTGCACGTTAAAGAACCCCAGGTGGTCTAAATATCCAGAGCTCTCCACTACGGCGTCTCACATAATCATATTGTGGTTTTGGGATGTTAAACCACACATATCATCAACACTCAGAATCTTCTGAGCACGTGTGGTAAATGTGAAAAAATATGTATACGGCCAAAATAAAACCTCTGAGACAGGCAGTGCGCAAGTCGACCAGCTGTTTGATGTTAACCACAGATGAAAGTTTGAAGGAGCCTGCGATAGTCCGACATTGCAGTCAAAGCTGCTAGGAAACGTAGAAGTGGTGCCATCTCGCAGCATCCGCGTAAAATGAGAACACGAGAGCCTGACCCGGTTTCGCCACTGGAGAAGAATCCAGTTTACTATAATGGCTGTAGCCGACGTTGTTTAGGATAGTGATTGAATTGAATTAGACCGACCTGAACAGCTGTATTTACTGACTAACAATTTAGGATGTGGATTGGATTAGACCTGGTTTAACCTGGATTACTGCACTTATTATTGATTTGTGTCCCCGCCTAATTTGCGCACCTCTAAAATATAATTTTCAGAAAAAAAAAGAATAACAACTACTCGCGTATTCTGTGTACCTTGTCTTGACAACGACTAACGACAACGTTGCAAGAACGGAACCATACTGCAAAATTGTCTTTCTTTTTTTTTTTTGACAAGCACATGCATGCTTGTATTTTATGTCTCTGGGCTCTGACGCTCGAAGTACAACTAACGTCCCCAAGCGGCTGCAGTGAAAGCTGGGGTACGCAGCATTTTAAGTGCCGACGTTCGAATATGCGGCGGACAAGAATGTGTCGAAGTGCACCAGCTTTCTTAATTCCACATGGGAATCACGAATGTCAGCATGTTACCTTCGTTTCTGTACTCTTTTGTGGACGTGACACTAAAAAATAATTGCTAGATTCAATAACACGATTTCATGAAACTGAAATGAAAAATTTAGTTACCCAAATGCTATCCTTGAAACACGAGCTACCAGTAATAAGTGTGTAGCTGAGGACGTTTGCTGTTACATCACCAATAATAATAATAATAATAATAATAATAATAATAATAATAATAATAATAATAATAATAGTAATAATAAAAGCGTAAGATAGTCCAGCAAGCCTCTGCTGGTGGTAATTCTATTTTAACCAGATGGCCTTCAAGCCGAGCCAAAATCGTGGCCTAGACAAACATTCACAAATTCAAAGACATGCGTAGTGGTGTTGTAGTTCAAAAGTCAGATATGCCGTGTCATATGTAGAAGCAACGGACATCAAAATAGGGCATGTACCAAAATGGAAGCTAAGGAATGATTCAGCCAATGTGAAGGACAAGCTGCCGAGCAGAAATTTCCCTGCAGTCTTGTTTATGGCATAGGCTGCCACGACTGTGACAACCAGTACAACGGTGAAGCTGGTGATTTCAAGAAAAGAGTTAAACGGCACAAATATGACGCCACGAAACAACGCGTGGCCTTGACTGTTCTCGCTGAACACGCGGAATCTATAGACCACCAAATAGTCTGGTCAAACTTGTGTGTTCTGAAGAAAAGAAGCTTGCATCATGCCAGCGCCTGGAATCCAGATACAGACGACCGTACAAACGCTGAGCAGGAGTGATGGGACGCTTCCGAACAATGTACTCTCGCTGCTTACGTCACGTATTTATGGGTATTTTAAATACGCTGCGCCTTTATTGTGGCTTTTACTGTGAACAACGCTCCCTCACGTATCGGGTGCCGGAACGTCAGTAAACTCTTGTGCTCGGTGTATCCTTTCGCGTTCACGCAAGCAACGGTGGTTGTGCACTCTCTTTTTTTTTTCACGCCTCTTCTGGCAATTCACTATACTTGCACTTTAAGGAGCGACTTTTTTAGGCTTTGATCGATAATAATGCTTTTTTGTGTGTGTGACGGTCGCACAGAACTGCTCTCAGTTTCCATGACCCCGGCAAGTTTTTCAGAAATTCCCTGACTTTTTTTATGACTTTTCTAGAAGTGACCGAATTCCCCGACTTTCCCCAGTTGTCCAGGTTGGTGGACACCCCGAGTCCTTGCACGAGTTTCAAGGCAGGGCAGCTACAGTTACGAGTGCAAGCGGTCCCGCGTTTTGGATGCGAAGCCGCTCTTTGAAAGCCTATGTAACGCTGCCCGTTCGTGTCTCCGTGCCAACGCGCCGTGCCACATTCTCCCCATCGCAGTTGCTGGAGCGATGCCAAGTAGGTCAAGTCGCAGATTCGCGTTGATGTCACTGTTTCTCTCACTCCGCCACAGCTGCTGGCTCCTCCCAACACACCTAGGTGGTGTTGCTCCTCCGCCCGCTTGCAACACACTTCTATCTCGCTTCACCCTCTCCACCGCCCACAACACTCGACCACAGGTCGAGTAGAAACACTCTTTCGGCTCATTTACCAGCGATGAAACTTATACGAAACGCAACCCACCTCCCGTGCCTTTGCGTTTCAAAGAAGTGTTTACTCGAGTCAAGGCTACACCGAGTTTCGCTTCAAGCCATTCTTGCAGCACTCGCGTCGTCGCCCTTAAGAGCCGGGTCAACGGCGTGCGCACCACTGCTGCTTCGCATCCCAGTCATGGTTCCCTTCGGGGAAATGGCCCATAATTTTTGTCCTAGAAGCATCATTCAACACACCGTAGACGACGAAGAGAGACGTTGAGCACCGCAAGCCTACGAAGTGTGGCAAGCGCGCACACCGGCTCACGACGGTAGCCCGTAACTGCTTGAGGTGTCTGTGAAAGGAACGTTACTCATTATGGAACTCGCCACCGGAGCATGTAGTGTGTGTATAGTGTCTGAAGAGACATTTCACCATACATTTTCGTGATGTCATCTGGAACCGCCAAGCATCATGCTGAAAGGTTACACCAGCGAGGTGTCCCCGGTACTAGACATGCCTGTCTGCGACTGTACGACTAGGAAACCATGAGTGCCGCGATGTGTTGTACGTCGTCCACATGCTGTCCGTCCAATCGAAGACGTGGCTAGTTGAAAAGTCTAGTGTTTGAACTGCACAATGTTAAATACGTCAAGGCTGCCACATCGGTTGAGGGGCTCGTCACTAAGTATGCGAGTGTTTTCGACGATGCCTTGCGAATGTTCCAAAAAGTGTCCTGCAAAAATAACAATATAAGACAACGCAAAGACGAGGTTCTTCAAGGCTCGTCCTGTTCCGTTCGCAATGATCAACCGTGTGAATGAGGAATTGATGCGCGTGGAACGAATGGGAGTGCTGCGTCCAGTGAAGACATCAGAATGAGCTGTGCCCATCATGCCTGTTGTGGAGCGGAGTGGCTAAATACGGATATGCACTGACTTCAAAGTGACTGAAAAATACGAAATACCACGCGTCAAAAACATGTTTAATCTCCCTAACGGTGGCGAGACGTTCAACAAGTTGGACTTGAAGAATACGTATTTGCAAGTTCACCTGAATGAGGCATTCTGCAAGCAGGCGAACCATCAACACACCAAAATGGCGTTATCAGTACACGCGTTTGCCTTTTGGTGTCGCATCTGCTCTCTCAATTTTCCAGTGGGAGACGGAAAACCCGCTACGAGTTAGGTCTCGGACATGGTGTACTTCGACGACGTTCTTGTAACTGGACATGACGACCGGGACCACCCAGAAAATCTGGATATTGTCCTAAGCGGTCTGAAGCAAGCTGGGCTTAAGTTGAGGCTTGAAAAGTGAACGTTATTGGAAGGACAAGTTGAATACCTGGCTGACGTTGTCACGGTTGTTTTCGGAGTGGAGTCGAAACCCGCCTCCGGAATGGTGGAGGCCGTTTTGAAGGTGTACACCCAAATATGTCACGGAATTATAAGCCTATCTAGGGCTTATAAAAAAAGGTAGTAGTCCTTGCTAACATTGGGGTAGTAATGGTTTGTCACCTATGTTACAGCCCTGGTAGCAAGCGCAGTTAGTAACATCGAGGGTGGTAACAGTTTCTACTTTTGCTGTTACTACCAGCATTTAGTGATTGTTACTAACTTAGCCGTTACCACTCATAAAAGGGTCACCAAAAGGCGCATTGTACAGCGGCCAAAACAAGGTCATGAACTCATTCTCAGTGCATTTGAATGCTTCACACGGCTAATATATCAGCGTTTAAAAGGTAATAATCGTTTTTGGGGTTTGACGCATCAAAACAATGGTAATGGTTGTAGACACGC